GTGGCTTTTTACGCCTCTGACCAACTTGTTGGTTGCTGCAGGACGGGTGGCTGCAGGCGATCCTTTTGCATTCCAACCTGCGATGACGAGTCGCGTCAAAGTCTACTGAAATGTAGTATTACGATAAATGTAGTGATGATACCGGGCTGGTTGAGGAAGCCGAGAAACACGCACGGAGCTGCTAGCCTGGAGAGCTGAGAGGCATAATAATGGCAGGCATGGAGGCGGCACAGTCCATTGTAGGCTCATGTCCTCTGTAATTATGGACACAAACAGGCCAGTTGGAGGTCTCAGGTGTCCACCATCTGTGCTGACATGCAGCAGGACTGAGGTTGAATCGATGGATGAATGGGACAATAGGTGGAGGAACATATCATTTCAAATAGTCGTCGTCATCACCTGCTCAAATATGGATGCCCATGGTCCCATTCTAACGATTCCATCTTCTTGGGGAAGCTGCGTGCAGATGTGTTGGAATTATTCTTAGGTCAGTTTCTGGACAAGCGCAGATGGATCTTCAGCAGTCTCTGAGAGTGGGCCGTAAGACATGGCTCTCACTTCAACTGATTCGCTGGTTTAGACGAGTAGGACGAGACCGCTGCTTATTTTTAGCAGCACAATTTCTAGACAGTAAGAGCCGGCAAGCCGCTGGCCTTATGACAATGGGGCTGGCGGAGCCTAGATGAAGAAGTGGGTGATTGAAGGGCTCAACGAAGATGAATCACTGCATCTTCACGACCTCTCTCTAGGTCAAGGCGACGTTTGGAAGGCTACCAAAGATCAAGGGTGAGTCCGGCACCAGACGTTGCGTGTGATCGTGGTGCATGCGAAACCGCCCAGAGCACAGAGGGCGCTTAAGCATGACGGAGACTACGGGAAGTAAGCATGAAATTACGTTTCCTGTCATAACCACCACTCATTCTAGTTGTAAGCAAGGGTCTACCTAGCAGCAAATCCTTGGTAGGGTCCGCCCCCAGTCTGGGCTTTGGCAATGGCAAGGGTATGTGAATGGCTGGGCGGCGGCGAGCTCTTCAGCCGAGAGAATGGCGGAGCGCAAGTGGTGGCTAGGCCACGCACCCTTTCCTGTCTCGTCGTTGGTTTCACCGGCGTGAAGCGCAATTGGCAAATTCATTGATATACTTGGCGTGGACCGACTGACCCCCCCTACTCCTCCTCCTCTTCCTCCCCATTCCATCACCAGTAGACGAGAAGATAGAGTTGAATAGTTTTTGAGAATTCTTTTCTTCTTTTCCTTTTGTTCCTCTTTTCCTTGTCTTCTTCTTCTCTTCGAGTGTTTTGGTTCACCATTATTTTTGAGGATTTTTTTTTCCTTTTCTCTTGCTTCCGCAATGCAGAACAAGCTTATATTGGGAGCCTTGACGGCTCTCAATCTGCTCACTCCCTCAGTCCGCGCTGCCGACGAGCCATGTCTGGCTGCCGCCAAGCTGCAGGAGAAGGCTGCCAAGGGCGTAGAGATTCCCCGACCTGGTGATGCTGCTTATCTGGTTCAGTTCGACGCCGAGACCGCCTACAAGTGCATCACTTCCGTTCCATTCAACAAGGACGCTGCCGTCAAGGTCCTCGAGATCTCCAAGTCCTACTTCCAGTTCCACTCTACCCTGGCCTACCTCAAAGACCCACCCGCATCCTACCAGCAGGAGTCTGTTGATGTGATGTCCAAGTTGGACGAATTCACCACCAAGGCAAAGAACGGCGATTACAAGAACCTTTACGAGTTTGACGTCGACTTTTACCGCCTCTCCCAGGCCACCCACGAAAGCCACTTTGCCAAAGACAGCCATGTCCTCGGTCTCTTCCGATGGACTCTCGAGGATACCATCGTGTCGGTCTCCACCGATGGAAAGGCCCTTCCCCAGGTTTACGCAGCCAGCGATATCAACAACAACGTCAATTCGCCCTCCCCCATCGTAGAACTTGCTGGCCAGTCTGTATATAGCTACCTTCAGGGCTACCTCAAGAACTTCACAGCGAACGGACTCATCGAACCACATGCCGATTTCAACGCCTTGATGTACAATACCGGCCTCGAGTTTGCCAGCTGGGCGCAGTCGAGCGATGCCTCCATGGCTCCTACTGCCTTCAAGACCACCCCGATTTACAATGGCAAGTCTCTCAAGGGCAAGTTCGCCAACGGCTCCGACTTTGAGTGGGCCTACAAGGCCGGCTCCAACGCCAACTTGACTCGGAACCAGTTCTTCAGTGGCCAGGATATCTACGATTTGAAGGTTGTCAAGGCCAACAGCACCGAGTCCGACGACTCTACAGTTGAGACCAGGAGGAAGAAGAAGCGCAGCTACAACCCCGATGTTAAGCTCGTTAAGCGCGCCGACTCATCCGACGACGAAGTTGCCGTTCCGTACGCCGCCTGGCCCACGAACCCCATCGTTGTGCAAGATAACTTCACTTTTGGTGGCACTGTGTCTGGATATTACTTCGATGAGAACCAACTCGGTGTCCTGAGCATCCCCAGCTTTGACACTGATGAGAACAGCAGTGAAACCTTTGATCTTGCCGTCGCCTCGTTCATCAACCAAACGCGCTCGCGCGGTGCTAGGAGGATCGTCATCGACTTGACTGGTAACGGTGGTGGTACTCTCTGGATGGGCTACGACACCTTCCGACACTTCTTCCCCAAGAAGGTGCCCAATCTGCTGTGGCGCACTCGTGCTCACAATGCCCTCAATGTCCTTGGTTCCGTCCTTGGTTGGAGTGGCGCACAGAACACCTCCTATGAGGATGTGCCTGATATCAACTACCAGTACGGCTCCAAGCCCGACCTGAGCAAGTTCTCCTCGTGGAAGGAGTTCTACGGCCCCCGTGAGCTCAAGAACGACAAGTTCACTAGCACTGCCACCTATGACTTCACCGATAAGAAGCTCGCTGGCGAACTGGGTTTCTACCTTGCTGGTTACGGTGATAACATCCCCGACTACGACGAGGCCTTCCCCGCCGAGAACATTGTTCTTCTTGTCGACGGCGGATGCGGCAGCACCTGCTCCTCCTTCTCCACCCTCATGAAGCACGTCGCCGGCGTTCGCACCGTCGCCGTCGGCGGCATCCCCGAGTACGGACCCATGCAGGGCGTGGCCAGTACTCGCGGCAGCATGATGCGCGAGTGGAACTACTTCGGCGACGCCATCACCTACATCCGCAGCGTCCTTGAGACGATCGACGAGAGCGACAAGGAGGCCACCTACTCCAAGATCGGCATCAGCTCCAGCGACGTCGACAACCTCCCCAAGGCCCTCGCCGACTCCCCCTGGACCGTCGACGGCGCCATCAACATGTTCGACACCCTCCAGGCCGGCAACCAGGACACCCCCCGCCAGTTCCTCTACGAGGCGTCCGCGTGCCGCATCTTCTACACCGGGGAGATGATCCGCGACGTCAGCAAGCTGTGGCAGGCCGCCGGCACCATCGCCGGTGGCGACAACAGTACCTGCGTCTCCGGTTCCCAGAACGCCGTCGGCTCCAGGCCCCTCACGTTCATCACCGACAGTCCCGGCTTCGGCTACAGCGAGCTGTGGTCGCGCGCCAACTCGACCGAAGTGCCCAACGTGAAGACCGACAGCACAAGCTCCAACAGCACCGAGGACTCGGCCGCCTCTTCCTACAGGGTTGGCCTGCCCCTGGCTGTTGTGGCGGTCGCTGCGACTCTCTTGCTGTAATGACGGAATGATGACTGCCTGGTTTGGACATGCCTCTTTTTTCTCTTTTTGTTTTATGGTATTAGCGGGTATTTAATGGGTATGTATATCCTTGGGACAGAGGTTGGAAGACCACGTCCATTTTCTTTTATGTTAGGCGTATTCAACAGGCAATAAATACAGAATCATGATGAACCAAAAACAGTTGTTCCTTTCATACCTTGTGATTAACTGAGTCCGTCATCAACCCAAGTGTAATTGCAATCAGAGTCTTGTTTTGGAGACCATACTGACGATCTCAATTTGAAAAGGCGGCTCTCGCCTCGCGCATTTATGTCTCTTCGCATGCTGACCTCATGACCTCAACGCTCCCGTGGGGAAATCCTCGAACGAGGACCTCATGCGGGTAAGATGTTGCTCTCATGAAAGCTAGCGCTAGACAGAAACATTCTCAGATTCTGAAACCGTTACGGAGGTAGTTAAGGTTGCTGGTAAGGTTAAAGTCGTCCCCTTGAACACGTGCTGTCAGGGGCAACGCTTCAGTATGGGATGAGCCAGGGGAACGTGTGAACCATCCGTGAGGTGTATCAACGGGATGGATAGCTTAAACAAGTAATTAATACAGGCCGTTATTCAGATATGAAAGAGAAAGTATAGCGGAAGAATTCTCCGGGCCTCATTAGGGTTACCTCCCCCGGGTTGTTTCAGTGCCAAATGTGTTTCAGCTTCAGCTAACGCTACCCACCTTCTGGATTTGGGCACGGACCTTGGGTTGCGAAGCTCAATTTGCAATGGTTTTACGAGTGATGGGGATCTCCCCATTGAAACAACGTTATTCAGACTGATTCTACCATGCGGGGGGGCTTTCGAAACCCTATATTGCAGCTTAAAATTATACGAGGATGCTCTGATCTCTCCACTTATCCGGTAGACCATTGGAGCGCTTTCTCGTTTGCAGCGTGCCAAGGTCAGTAGATACCGGTACGAAACATGGTTCCTTGAAAGTAACTCAGTTGATTGAATGCTGGACTCATACGGCGGCAAGCCGGTTTCGTCCCGACCCTGTTGATGACCCATGAAGAAGGGTGATTGTTAGAGATTTTCTACGTGTAAGCGATTAACACCATGCCATGGTGACATCGCTTCTGCCGGAAACACGGTCAATCGCGTGGGACTCGCAAGGATACGAATGGATTTAAACCTACGGACGCTGCTGTTTCGACGACCAGCTTCAGTAGATTCTCAGCAGGTTCTGTGTGCAGTGCAACTAACTACATTCTTTCTTTTCTTATTACCCACTCTTTCACTTTCACTCACTTTCAATCTGATACAATGCGGGCCACTCTTGTCTCAGCACTCTTGTCCATCTCCTCTTTGGCGTCTGGCCTGGAATGGTCGGACAACCATGAGGGGGACTTCTCTACTGAGAAGTTCGCAGACGACAACATCGCAGCTGCTCTTCGAAACCGCCGTGTCTGGAACCGGCCAATCAAGAGGCAGTCGGGCTGGAGCCCGCCGTCTGACATTGCCACCCCTCTTCAGGAAGTCTGGGATCACTGCACCAGTACCTACTCAAACTTTTATGGCTTCAAAAACTATGGCTGGGACCAGCTCATGGCCACAGATGGGTATGAGAAACTGTTCCATTGCGGATTTTGTACGTTCACGTAGCTAACATGGCTAGAAAAATCAACATGTGTGTCCGTTGGGAATCTAGTGCATCAGTAACCGAGACCCAGCGAACCCAGATCGCGACAGCCCTCAACACCCAGTACCAACAATGGTTTGAATGGCTTTATGGCTACGATAACTTCCCCTTCTCCAAAATCGAGGTCAATGTTGTCGGCTGGGCCGTCTCAGACGCCTCCAAGCTGGAGGGCTCGACCGATGGTATCGAAGTTTATACCGATAAGGATGCCGATGGGATCCCTCAGTGCGCAGAGGCTTGCGGCAGGTTTTTCAACCAGGACGGCGACTACAGCGGGTGTGCAGCGGGCGCAGACAAGCACTACGACCAGTCTCTGTGGCTTACTGAGGGTATGGGCGGCGGTGCTGGCGGTGACTGGGGCCAGAGAATCGGAAGCGAGTATATGATCAATGCCCTTGGCTCTGATAGCGTCCATATCCTGCTTCACGAGATGGGCCACACCTTTGGGCTGGATGACTTCTACGGTAAGTAGTCATTCTATCCTTCTTGACACTATAGCCAGCGTTTACTAACAACTGCCAGACTGGACCCCCACTGGAGTCTCCAGCTTCGTGATGCTTGCTGGTTCCGCGACAACTATCACCGACTTCGATGGCTGGATGCTTCGAAACTGGTGGTATGAGCTCTCCCGCAACCGTGGATGGCAATCCGGCTCCGGCTCCAGCTCGAGCACTGCCTCTTCCGCCCCGGCCGCAACCGCTACGGCTACCTCGAACCCAACTTCAGCAGTTCAAACCCCAGGCACGACTTCGGCCGCCTCCCCGGATACCACCTCCATTGCCTCTCCGGATACTACATCGGCCGCCTTGCCTGATGCTACCTCCACCGCCCGCACACGCACACGCACGCGCACACGCACGACACCTGCTGCCTCGAACTCCATCATCCCGGAAGCCACCTCCAGTGCTAACGCCCAGCCAACTGGCGTGCAATCGACTCCTGGTAGCGGATCGAGGCCTACGTCTGGAGTGGAGCGACCATCGTGCGGAAAGAGTCGCAGGGGCTTCAACGCTTGATTGCTGAGACTTGTACTTGACTGTATTTTCTTTCAGTAGCTCTTGTTCTCATTGTACTATTGGTCATTGAGTAAGACAGAAACTCTATGTTCTTGTAGCTGGTTCTCAAATATAGAAGTAAAGTCCTTATTCGATTACATCTGACGTTCAATAGAACTGTGAAAAGGGAAAGAAACTTTGGGCCCCTGAATTTTAAAAAGGAGGGCCTGATGCCTGAATAAAAAAGTCTTGAAATGAATCAACAAGTTTTAAGTTCAGAGTCTTTGCGATGTTCGGTGTAGCCAACACCACCTCTATTTATCTGACCGGTCTGCTCTTGATTCATGACTGTCCCGACTATTCTAAGCCCTCTCATATGTGCCCCTTTTCTAAGAACTTCTTCGGCACGGGAACAAATTTAGCTCTCAAGTACTCCCCTAGATTTTTGGCTAAAGTGTCCAGCTTACTCCCAGAGTTATATCCTCTGTCTAAATGGTCCTTTAGGAGAAAATGCACGGCTCTGATATTCTTCATCTCGAAGCGGTCGATCCGACCACCGCTGTACTCGTGTGGCCCAAGGAGCTCTTTGATCTTGTGGATCGTGAGTATTGACCGCAGCCACTCCCACTCCTCATCGTCCGCCTCATGCCGGACAAAGAATCCTACGTTGGCATCTGATGCCTTGTCGCCGGAGCGGGCCAATGCAACCCAACCGAGGGGAGCGCGCTCTGTAGGGCCAAAAGACGATAAATCTCGATTTTGTGACGGGTCGTATGACGGCTGAGGGCCGTACACATGTGTTTCTGGTGGGAGAGGTATGTCTGTAACAGATTCATCGCCAAATAAGAGATGGACACGATGGTTGCAGGCGCTTTGGGGGATGCTTGTGACAAAATATTCCCAATAGCTCTTTGCGGCAGATTGGCGAAGGTCGTTTGGACGTGAGACCCCCTAACGGGACATTAGCAACTCAACCCATTTCTACTTCGGGGGTTATTCAACTCACCGGACATGATTGCAGGACCGTCTCGTATAATTTCCGAGCGAAACCGTCCGGCTTTGTACCGTCAAACAGGTCTGCAGTAGGCCCCTGAGCAAAGATTCGAAAATCAACCGTAGCAATTTCCTGATTTTGAGGATCTGGAGGGCTTGTACCGTGGACATGAAATTTGAGCATTGTGAACTGGTTCATAATTTTGTCACCAATGGCATGCCTTGCTTGTTCCTCCATCCATTGGCATTTCTCCTCGATGTCCAACCCGACGAGATAGAAGTGCCACTCAGCTTGATAGCCACCATGAGCGGTCACACCACAGCGTGTTGTTGGAGGTGGTGGTAAACCTTTCACCCCGGAAACGTGAACGAGATCACTTGATACTTGTTCTAGGCGAATGTCGTGAATATTGGCGACTACATCGGAATTGAAGTACAGTGGCCCTGAAATTTCATATACCAGTTGCGATATGACGGTTTCTGTGTTGACCACGCCGTTTGTGTTTTTTTCTTTCGTAATTCTGCACTCTCCGTTGTGGAACACTTCGGCAACAGGGAAGCCAAGGTTGAGGTGTGAACGTGACTTCATTAAATCCTTGAATCTGCTGTAATACCCGCCCGTGGCAAAAGCAGAACACTCAATGATGTGGCCAGCAATGAGAGCGCCGGCCAGTTCATCAAGCTGGACTGGCCCCCAGTTGTGCCACCAAGCGGCGAGACCAATAGTCGGCGCTGCGTCAGAGACTCTGCTTACAATCAGCGGAAAGAATATACGGAAGGTATAATGTTTCTTACCTTCCACAAATGACAATATCGGCTCCTTTTCGCAGGGCTTCGGCTATTCCAAAGCTTCCTAGGTAAGCTTGTGCGCATAGCGGTTTGTGTCCCCATTCGCCCAAGGACCTCCCATCAGTCAGGCTATGAAATGTGTGGCCATCTGCAACCATCTGTTGGAATGGTACGGTAACATCGTCACCCTCCACCCAGGCAACTTTCATCGAGTACCCTGCATTTTCGACCATGTCTTTGACAACTTCGGCGAGCAGCTCGGTATCGCTGGCGCCAGCATTGACTGCCAGCTTCGTCTTGTTCTTTGCTAGATGAGAAATGGCAGGCTCAAAACACTGTAAAAATGTGCTGGCGTACATAGCGTTCTGCTTTCTCTCCTCCAATGACAGACCGGCTTGTGGCTTCTTCTTCGCCTTGCCAGCACCATATCCTGTCATGACATTTTCAGAGAGCCAGTCGCCAACAATTGCATCAACTTCTGGGTCAGAAGCCAATCGTGAGATGGCTGCAACACGGTCCGTGAAGCCGCCAGAGGCACCTCCAATACGTATTGGGCGGCGTTCTGTTTCACATGCCATATTGTACTGGTTTGAAGATGGTCCTGGACTTTGGCCATGCAATCTTAGTGGCCTTTCTCGGGAGATAAATGTAATCCCTGTTCGTAGCCAACGCTGATACCTCTTAGAGTGCCGAGGGCAAAAATCGGTTTCCTAGGTATCTCGGTAATCGATCTCCGACTCACATTACCAGCTGGATGTTTCTCCGTGCGATCGTTTCCCCGCACCAAACAATTAGTGCCAGATCACGTAGTAGAACAAAGCACATTGTTCATCTAATAATGACGTAGGTAGTATAAAGTTGGGTTCAGTGTGATGCAGAAGCGCCTTTTGTAGATGGAGTAGACGGCGCTGACACCTGTGCGAGGTCCATGTCAATAAGCCGCGACATATCTGGGAAACGTTTCCGGAATGCTTCCCCGATAGTCCAGTTGCTTATTTGTTTCATATGCTCTTGAAAGACTGGATTCACGGTAATCTGCGTGATCTCGTCATTCCTCGTCACAGGAGATAAAAGAACCGATGTAGGGTCGTAGGGCCAATTCAAGCTAAAACTGCTGCTATACGGAACGACAAAGTCATCCAACGTAATTTCCGGATGAAGGATTAAGTACTCTCGAGCACGAGGCCTGGTGGACATTAGCATGTGCCAGTGTATGGTAATCGGACAACTGTACCAGGGAATACGGTCAATCCAGGCGGCGTGCGGAGTGGCTACTTGGATAGGCACTGGCCGCAGCCAGTCTGGAAGCAGTTCCCAACTATCTCGGTCCAAAAGAACCATCCACTTGGGATCGAACGTTAGTTGATGACAGTAGGAAGTATAGGTAGGACATACGTTGAGAAGATGGGCAAGGTTGACAAAGACGGCCACCTGCCTCGGTAGGTCTTCAATTTCGGTGTACGCATTGACGATGCCGGCTACCACATTACTGATCTTGTCGTCTGGGCGATGGTTCCTGTCAAGTAGACTGCATAGGTTCGGTTTCCATGTGGACGTCGAGTTTTGATCTTCAGTAGCTAGCGGGGTGCTGGCCAGCCCTGTTGTCCGTGTCTGGTTGATGAAATCCTGCAAAATGTCGTCTGCTAGACACCCAGCGGGGTTGTTTCGCGGAGAGAGCTCCCATGGAGGCACATGTATACTATCAACACTGATAGGGCTAAGGCCCGATGAGACTGTCGAAGTATCGTTCCCGTCCACAACACGGCCGAGGAGACTCAGTTGCAAGGCAGCATTTTGCGTGCGAAGGTGTGCATTGTCGGCTTCCAGCTGGCTGACGGTCAGTCTGAGAGAGTGAAGCTCACACGAACGCTCATCTATGGTGGCCGTGAGGACGGAAACTTGCTCGCTAAGAGAGTTTATCGTCCACTTGGTTCGGTCACGCATTGCCTGCTGTGCCTTGCGGTCACGAGCACGCTTTCGGCGTAGCTCAACCTCCTTCTGGGATTCGCTCTGTTGATCCATGATGGGAGTGGAGTCAGCTCTCAACTGTGCTGCTACCACCCAGATATGCTACGCAAATATAAAAGGTATGAAACTAGTTAGATCCATGAAATACTCGACCTCAAAGGATGCAGTATGCAGCAGCGTCAGTTGTGGAGGTCGCGGAAGGACGATCGATTCATGGAGAAAAATATCCGGCACCCCGCATCGTTTGTGGGTGGGTGGAACGTGGGGAAATCTGGGGGTAGTGGTACCCGAGTTTTACCATGATTCTCAGTGAAATATAGAGATGATCAGGCCTCCTTAATGAAATGTTTCTTGAATTCGGGATGTGGGAACTTCAAAGCTTGAAGGCAATAGGTCAGAGCTTGTAGGAGTGAGCAACCATTGGATCGACGAGTCAGAGAAAGTCCGTCGTCACAATCCTTAACTTACGAAGAAAGAACACAATGGTGCTTGTTGGACAAGTAATATTTAACGAATAAAAATATTTTAAAAAACGCATCGCCATCTATAACCGAGAATTGCCGTAGTATATATTGTTGTGAGAGTGCCAGGTAGTGTATGATAGTATTTGTGCTTCTATGTTGGAGCATTCAATTCAATGCCGAAGGATCTGGCAAATCAATGGACTGAAATTTTTGGGCGAGCGGATTATGCTAGGACAAAAAAAAGGCAGTAAAGCGTAAGATAAAGGGTCTTTTCTATATCCGCTTCCTCTCATGGGAGGTGTGCGGTGGATGGCACATTAGCCTCTCTTGGCCGAGCAACACCGTAGATAGTTACATGGAGGGAGAAAATAAGACATTGCAGGACGACTATCTGTACAAATGGCGCAGGTCAGCTAAAAACCGGATACTTCGAATTCATAAAGTCATGCATTTGGTAGCTTCTTGTATCGTTTACCCTCGCTGGTCGGTTTGGGCGATGTTTTATCGTGGAACTAATAACCCGGCCAAAATCGAGGCTATCAGGGCAGCTATTCTTAGGTTGCGGAACCTCTGATCAACCCATTATACTACAAGGATAAAACCAAACACGGCACTCTGCATTGTCGAATAAATTAGTTGACTCGATTGTAGTGGGGAAACTGGCATGAAGACGCCCGCCAGCACATGTGTGTCATTCTTCACTTGGCACTCTTCCTTCCACCCCCGCTCGGCCTTATATAAAAACGGCATGGCCATGTAGATAATGGGGCATCCAGAGTCAGCATCACTTGTGAGCAGTTCGTATACCTATATATGCCCGAGGAAACCCCGCCCCCTCTCAACCCGTATGATACGCACTCGGAGAGCTACAGCTCGAGAGGTTGGCTTTTTATGGCTGAGGGCTGGCAGAAATTACCGCTAGCCAAAATGCAAGGGCTGATCTGGGACAAGAGAATCTTAGTATTCACAAGGGCGAATGTTGCAGGGAGGCAACATGCGCTATCGAGCCAATTAGATTCCTTGTTGCCGGATTGAATATGCCGACCAAAGGGGTAGTTACAGCGTCATGTTGTATGAAATGTTTTCTCAGGATATTGGACAGCAAGTTGTAGGCCAAGTCGGCTCCAAGCCCTTCCAATGCCTAGAGTGGGAGTTACATCGACGAACATAGGAGGAGATAGGCTCTTACGGAGTAGGAATCAGCTCACACGAAGGGCTTGACAACAGGGCTGCCGCATCACGGGTCGGGTTAGCCGATAAGTGGAAGTCTAGAGGAAGCGCCAAGAGGATCCCTCACGAGATGGTCGGATACTGCCGAATCAAACAACTTCGGTAGTCGCTTGTGGCCAGGCTTTAATCTACCTGGCACAGGGATGACATCCGGCTCCTGAATTGGTTAGGTTGTTTGAGGTTTAATGGGTTGCCTCCTGGAATGGGGCACATGAGTTATTAAGAGATGAAAGGCTCGGGGATTGATTGGACGCTTGGACCGAAACACATGGACGCCTCTAAAAATAGACTTGAGCTGAAAGATATCTGACGATGGCAAAAATCTCCCATTCTCTTTGGGGCCTTTCGTCTGGGACCTTTCGATTGAGCATCTTTGTGGCATTGACCAGCGACTCCATGTCGGCAAGTCCATAGCCTGAATTTACTGTCTGGAGAAACAGGAAGAGAGGAACTATTGACGAAAACTACGTAGGTAAGAGCTGAGTTCGGTCACGAACTATCAGCCGTGATGGGCTTGATCTTAAAATCAACACGGGGGATCCACGCATCCGACCTGCCGGAAAGGCGATGGCCCGTCGAAACGCCAAGGATCATGCATGCTGAATGACGCCTCCCGATCCGGGATCAGGCCCGAACAGGATGTTAGTCGGCCATCCTGAGGGATGGAAGCCGGAAGGGGAACACCCTCGTGTTGGTGGCGATGGCCCGCGGCTGCCGATCAGTATATAGCGTCGTTCTCCCTCAGCCGCAGTTCCAACCTCCTACGCTCGCTATACCGATACCCATTCAGTACAGCACTCCTGTTGTTCAAGATGAAGTTCCAGCTCCTCGCCCTGACCGCCTTTGCGCCTCTCTCTCTGGCCGCTCTTTGCGACCAGTACCAGAGCCAGTCCCAGGGCGGCTACATCTTCAACAACAACAAGTGGGGACAGGGCTCCGGCTCTGGTAGCCAATGTCTCACCATCGACAAGACTTGGGATGGGAATGCTGCCTTTCACGCCGACTGGAGTTGGTCTGGCAGCGCCAACAACGTCAAGTCCTACCCCTACGCTGGCCTCGAGTTCAGCCGCGGCAAGAAGGTGAGCTCCATCGGCAGCATCAACGGTGGTGCCGACTGGGACTACTCTGGAAGCAACATTCGCGCCAACGTCGCTTATGACATCTTCACTTCTGCCGATCCCAACCATGTTACCAGCAGCGGTGACTACGAGCTCATGATCTGGTAAGTGGCGAGGAATAATCTGTATTGGACTTCCCAGTAGCTAATCCAATGTCCCAGGCTCGGAAAGCTCGGTGATATCTACCCCATCGGAGGCTCCATCGGAAGAGTCAAGGCCGCCAACCGCGAATGGGACCTCCACGTCGGCTACAACGGTGCTATGAAGGTCTTCAGCTTCGTCGCCCCCAGCCCGGTTACTCGATTCGACGGAAACATCATGGACTTCTTTTACGTCATGCGCGACATGCAAGGCTACCCCATGGACAAGCAGTATCTGCTCAGTAGGTTCATTCCAACAATGAGAAGTCCAGAGGGACCCAAGAAGCTAACACTACTCTTATAGCCCTCCAATTCGGTACTGAGCCCTTCACCGGAAGCAACGCCAGGTTCAACGCCTGGTACTTCGGAGCCAAGATCAAATAAGCTTCTTCACCGTTCCGATACTCGGTCCAAGTTTCGCCGTAGTGTATTATTATAGCGGCAGTACCCTCTTCAAGGGCGTTAATGACGAATCTATAAATGCCGATTCTCGTTTTGTACTGTCCCGTTCAAATGAAGCATGATATGAACAAACCTGCCCCTTTCCCGATTTAAGATTCCTACCTAATGTCGTGTAGTCAGAGTTTGGACTTGGACATACGTGCTTGAGCCCCTACTTTATGGTTACCGATGTGTTTGTGTTGTAGAACTAAACCTAGAGGTTTCTATTCCGCTATGTTCGCGTCAACTATGTGCTCAAGTACGTCCATCTTTTACACACAGGCTGTAAAACATACTGGTGCTCAGTTTGTGGCTACACGCAGAGGCACAGCCATGTGATGATAGTAGAGATAATATTAATCCGTATTTGGAAGCAAACTGAGAGCCAAAGAGACATGAAGGGCGGTATTGAGGGGTGGGTAGCAGGATGAAGCATGCCACACAAGTCATAGAACTTGGAGCAGGCCCTTTGTTGGATGTTTACGCAAAGTCTGCCAGTTGAAGTCCTTCGTTGACACCGACGACGAGGGCTTGAAATAAAGATGCACAACCTCTTTCCCATAGGGACATCGGAGATCGAAGGCAACCATACAAGAATAGTTAGTAGCACATGATGGATGGTGTTGTTGTATTTTCCTAGAGGGCCTTTCTAATTATACGTAGCTGCCCAAGTGGGTGAAATATAACATGGCACACCAAATCTCTTTTCGCGTAAGGTAGGACCTCGTTTTTAATTAACATAATAATGAGAGAATAATCAACTGTTCTATAATATTTAGCTGAATATTGTTCTTAGTACGAGGTTAAGTTAGATACTCTGATATTGTGTTAAAATTCAACGCTGAAATATCTTGATGTGCCATGTTTTTTTCCACCCACTTGCTGCCCTCAATTGCCCCCCTCAATTGCCCCAGGCGGCGGAGACATAAAGTTAGTCAAAGTTGGCGGCGCTTCGGTATCTTTGTATGCCTTTTTCTGTTTCCACCACTTGCAAGTCTCGAAGTCTAGGGGAGCATTGGGAGACAGGCGTCCTGAAAAGAGTGCCGAGTAAGACACAATGGCCTTGTCTAGCAAGACTCTGTCCGTGGGCAAAGCCTGCCGATATCTATCCAAGGAAGCAAGAACATCAAGGAGGTATTCCTTCTCTTCCCTCGTGGCGACTTCGATCGTGGGGTAGATTACATCTAGCGATGTAACGGCGACAAAGGATTCCAGCTCAAAGAGAGCTGGTATAAAGTTCCAAACATGGATCGACTCTTTCCTGAGGAGGGCCCGCAACGCAGCCGGGTCTGCATACTCGGGGTAAACGACGCTGCAGTCGAAGAGCATTTTTAGAACAAGGATCTGAGCCGTCATCCAGCACATGTTCACTTGGAACAAGCTGACATCAGTGATTTGGTAGCTTTTTCCGGTAATAGAACTAGGATCATTGATCTCTCTTACAACCCCTAGTTCTTTGGCCTTCTCAAATAACTCGCCATTCGCCTTTGCGCTGGTATCAAGCCTCTGTTTGAGGTCAGCCATCAACTTTCGGGCCAAGCACATAACGCTTGGGTCGTTCCTGTTGGTGCTGGAGTGGATGGTATGACAATCACGATAATACGACGGTAGTCTACCGCATACCGCCTGGGAGGCTTTGAATGCCGCTTTCCCATGGGTTCTGAGAGCCTGGTTTTGAAATAAGTCTGCTGTTGCATTCGCCGAGGCTTCGTCCCAAGACCCTTTATTCATGAAGAAATCACAATCCTTCATTCGCGTCCAGTAGGGAACCTGCAAGAAATCCGTCAGCGGAACTGTCTGTTCTCATTTGCCAGAAAGCGAGGGGAAGATTAAGAAAAACAAAAGGGGAAGGTACAAGGGGCATATTACTAGCACAATATAGTTTTCTGCAACGAGAGCAGAATGTAGCTCGTCTCCTGCTTTCGGTGGCCCCAGCCGCTCATTGAGGCTGGCTATGCCCAGCTCGTGAATATAAGGGGCGTCATTTCTGGAATCGAACAATGACTCAGTCCGCCCTAAAATGGTGATTGCGGCTAGGGTTTCAACAGTTATACCATAATCTCCCTGGGCCAAGGTAGACCTGAGACTCCGTATAGCCCGCCCGTACTCTGCTAGGTGCGCAAGATTGTCTGTTCTCTCAGTTCGGCGGTATCTATGCCAAACTGAACAGAATAGGTCTATTGAGTCACGGAGAGCAGGGCAAGTCTCCATACACCTGGGAAGATGCTTCATGTACTTAGTCTGCAGCACCAAGCCTCTGTTCGGTGCACTTTGCAGATGTGTGACCAGGCGAGCAGCAACGCGGTCCCCGTCAGTTGTTAGTTTCTGCCCAGGGCTGGGAATGGAATAGCGGTAGAAATGGGAAAGCAACCCCTCTTTATTCAAGCGCTGACCGGCTCGCCTCTCTTGTCCCTCGCTCATTGATGGCGACGACGCTGACACGACCCCAGACCAACACTCAGCGCTCTCAGACCAAGCATGCTTGTGGCCGCTTCCATCAGAGCCAACGTGAACGTACTTGACTAATGAAGATGGTCCTGGACATGCGACCCCTTTCCTTACGCATTGCGAACATGTTGGCCACTTCTTGTCACACTACTCCAAACATAGGCGTTAGGTCGACAAGTTCTCAGACTCCAAAATGAAGGTGGAAAATTCAGAAATATGAAGGCGTACTTTGGTTCGGCGGACTTTGCAGTTGCGACAGGCCGTGGATTTGGGGATTCCTGGCATTGGGAGATGCTCGAGTCTCCGCGATTGCGCGTATATTCGTTCTTGTGCATTTGTCGTCCGAGGCGAATGGGGGGAAGATGGAGCGAGAAAACATTGTTTTGGGTTCAATTGAACGTGACCGTCGGACTGTAATCAACAAATATGCAATGCACCCCTGTAGGCTTACAAAAGTCCCTCCTGTCTTTGCCCCTGCAGATACAAGCTTCCATGTCAAAAGAACACTATTTTCGTTTTTCTCGCCTAGTTAGTAATAAGATAGACAGGACATTTACTTTGAGACTGATTCACTGTGCTTATAGCCTTGGAACGAGTCCGCCTTTGCCAGTCTTCATCAGATCAAACTATTTCGTGTAGAGGTTAGGTGGTTATTGCTTCTGTAGTCTATTCACCAAGTCAAAGGTTTTTTTCTAGTATGTAGAAGTGTTTGAATTTTGAAAAGGAGCGTCCTATGTGGTAAATCTATAAAGTGATAAAAATTTACTTAGCAGTCTAAATCTAAGTATTGTTGAAGCCCAGTAACGAAAGAAGAGGACGGGAAACCCCTGTCATTATGAAAACTAAAACCGCCATCCATCGCTCTCACAATCAATTGCCACTTATCTCGTATCCAATCGCAAACATGACCTATCATCTAATAAAGCCACTTAACACACTTGATTTATGGGTTGGGGTTGGGCTTGATGGAACCGCCCTGGACAACAGGGGGGATGACAGAAGTGCCAGTAAGAGCAGCCAGGTCGCGGTGCTTGGCGAGGCTGAAGTTGGGGTCGTTGAAGTTCTGGTTGATGACCCCGACCATGCCCTTCTGGCAGTGATTGCCGTTCTGCTGGGGACAGTAGTACCAGATGGGCTTGGTATCGTTGACCACGATCTGGAAGACGTTGGGGTTCTTGCCCTGCTGGGAGGGGAAGTTGAAGCCGGAGTAGAAGCCGGTGCCATCAGCGAGGGGCTTGCAGGGCTCGCCGAAGGAAGACTGGGCAACAGCGTGGTTCATGGGCAGGAACTCGTACTGGACAATGTCACCGACTTGGGCGACGACATTGTCAGGCTCGAAGCGTAGGCCACCGAGACCGGCGACGACGGAGTGTGTGACGCCGGTGAGGGGAACAGTAGGGGTCTGGGTATCCCGGATGGTCTCAGTAGGAGCAGCGGCTGAGAGGCCGAAGAAGGCGGCAAGAGCAACGGCGGAAGTGATGGAGATCATTTTGAAGGTATTGAATAGAAGTTATATGTGATTAAGTTGAAGAGCTGTGAGCAAAAGATCAAAGAAAGAAGCAAGTGGCTGTTTGTTGAAGTGACTGTGAAGCTGTTGATTGTTGTGATGGTGAGGAGGGAAATTGGATATTGGCTAGAACCAACGTCTTCTTATATACAATTTCAATCACATACAATCATTGTAACCTCCCATCTCTTCCAAATGGCATTAGTACACTGGTAAGCAATTATCAATGCCATACTTCATCTAAGCCATCCGGATGCCAGACTTGCCGGTAGCTCGCATCTCCATCGTCATCCTCTAGTGGTCAGCAGAGATGACAGCCCTCTTCTCAAAAAGTGGGTGCTCAAAATAGGTCCAAGCAGTAAATACCCCGAGTGAGCCACAACACCGGTGCCAAAACCGCAGAGAGGGGACTGGAGAGTCTCACTGCCCCCGGATTGATCATCTCTCGGAGGTCGGCCGCACGCAAGCGAGGGTCTGACCTCGGAAGCACTAAATTTAGCCTTGCTTTGGCAGGATGATGTGCGTGATCTGTGATTGGAGAGCCCACCTGTTACTGCTTATGCCCAAAACCAGTTGTGGTTAGCAGATCACCACCATCATCGTCTGTCCTGAGCCTGCTTATGTTAGTTTGGGGGCTGCGCCCTGTTTGAAAAACAGTCCGGTGGTAGCATAGCAGGAGGCGTTGCAATATTTTTATTAGTGCTATTTGAAGCTTCTAATTAAACACTATGGTTTGTTAGGTTCCTTCTCTAAACCCGGTGGCTCAGCTTATTTTCAATTTGTAGATTGAAGGCGGGCTTCCATTTTTCTTCTGTGGCAACGCGTATATTAAGCTTCTTTCTTTGATTACAAACTAAGCTAGCAGTCATGTGCCACGATATACTGCCACATTGGCATGTTCTTAGAAGAGCATGTGTGGCGGTAGTTCCGAGCAAGACAAGGTCCACTGCCATTGGTGCCACGAGACCACAGGAATTAGCCATAAGCGAATAGAAAACCTGGCATTTCTCTTCTGGGCATCTTATCCGATACTGACATCGAAAAATACAACCAGCGGCATTGGCTGAAACTCGCCCCATGACGTTGCTTATTTTTTGCTTTGCTTGTACGCCAAACCTGGGGATGGTTGGGGGCTGCAAAGAGGAATGAGTGTGTATGGGCTCGAATAAAGAAACCAAAAAAACAGGAATGCGATGCTGTGCCTCTTAGGAAAGCCAGCCGTCCAGGTCAGACCTATGTCATGCGCAGTGTCAAAATAACTGGAATATCTAGGTCAGCTATGTTGGTGTTTATGGAAACAGGCAAGATCATCAACACATCATCAACACCAAATGCATGCTGACAGTGTGACCATCTTCTGGACTTCATGGCCCTCGTATTCAGCTTTGGAAAGGTTCTTCTGTTGCTTGGTCGGTTAGTTACACCATTCAACAGAGGGGCGATCTTAGCCACCAGTACTAATACTGGCTTGGTAGACAAATACAAGCGTCAAGATTCCCATATCCCTGTCGGTCTCGCTGACAGTAAATTGGGGTGAATTATTCTGCATTTCATCAGTTAATGCTTGCTTATCGGATAAACTTTCGACTTTTGTTCCTTGAGGCCAGTCTTGCCAAGTAATGGCGTATATAACTCGTTTAGCAACATCTTCTAAGCCCGTGGAAGCGATCACGTTGAGCGTTCATCTCGTTAATATTGTCAAACCCCGCCGTAAACAGTGTTTTTAAGACGCCAAATCCGACCTCATCGCCTAGCGGCGTCGGTTGGTTCATTTCTTCGAACACCTGACAAGCTACGACCAGTGCCATGAATGTTGAGACATGGAGGTATCTTTCTGTTGGTGAAACATCCCCGAGGGCTATAATGGACTTTTGGGACGTCGTGACCGTCAGATAGTCATGGGTCTGACCTCGATGAAACCATAGGAAACGACTTCGTGAGAAATACGTACTTGAGAAAGTTCGCCGGCACGTTGAATATTGTCAGCGGGAATCCCATCCCAACATAAGTTAATGCCGCATGAAGTGTAATTAAGACGAGACCAAGAGAGGAGGGTTCATTCCCACGCGCCCTGAAGATGAGGTGTCTGGTCGGCGCTGGTTCTCCGTTATCGGATGATGAGCGAGTCAAACGGGAATATCAGGAGAGACCTAAGCACAGTGCGAGACGTGTTCTTTTTGATTGTATGTAGATTCAACATGTCATGCACTGTGAGGCATAGTACCAATGGTTCCATGACCATGTAGCCGAGACCACAGGATTTATAAGTCAGTAAGCAACAAACAAAGCTCAAGCAAATGCCTGGGGGAATGTTTTCCCCACCACCTGGTAAGAAATTGGAAACGAATACTGTGGAACTCATCATGAGCTCGAAGAAAGAGGTAGGGGAATGGGTGGAATAAAGAGGAAAGATAGAAATTAGTAGTGAGGGCGGGAGACGATCAGCGAGGAACGAGGACCAATGCGTCGGGGCCACTCAACCATTTTCTTGGCTTTTACTCTCGTGTATGAGATGCAAGACGGAATTACGGGGCTCTGATTGGAAGTCCTTGTCCAGAGTTACTGTACGAGACTGCGGAGCGAGGAGGCCAGTTCCAATGCCGGGGCCGACCAAGTCCGAAAATCCCGACGGAGAGAAGCATTTAGGAGACTTGCCGTTGCCTTAGGCTCGCTCCCCTGTGTAGGCACATATTGAAAATATTCTTATGATATTTGTTTTATTCTCGCTCCATGTAATATGTAGTTGGATAGTGTACTGCAAAAAAACAAAAATTTTCTACGTCGAGTTTGTAAATGGTTAGAATACCTAGTGAGCAGGACCCAGAATGAGGCGATCGGCACCAACTTGGCCAAGAGAAAAATGCAATCAATTATAATTAAATTGAGTATCCTCCCAAGATGTTTTAAGAATTGGGCTAGGGTCCCGAGGACGCGTCAAGATGCACTGCCTCGAGCTTTTACATATTAGCCCCTGAGGACTCTTGGCACCACAGCTGCTATATAATATTCCTTTCTCTCGTGTTCGGTATTCAACCTGCAAATTGGTTGTAAACATTGAGAATTAAACATCTCACAGAATGTCTATTTCATCAGAAGATAATTACACGATTATTCGTGAGTCAGGTGAATAGAGATCCGTTCGTGTTTTTGTCGATATCGATTTACAAGCTAACCTGACATATGACCATAAAAGCCTGCGGGGAACGGATATTCTACCTATATCATCGCCTTGGAATTCAGTCGAACGTGATTGTTACTGCCACATACGATAATCCTCACAAACTGCTCGATGAGGCTCTTGTATTGAACGCCCTCCGTCGGGTGGTGGAAGCACATCCTATGATGAGAATGGTAGGCGTGGTACAACCCTCACCAAAGAATAAAGACCGACACACCCTCCAAATTGCTATGTTGCACGAGATTGATTTGCGAAATTGCGTGGAATTCGTAGACGATTTAAAAGGGGTCGGCATCACGCCTGCCTTACTTGAGCGTGCACACAATGAATGGGAACACACACCCGACATCCAACATCGACCACTGTTCAAATTATTCGTTGTTGGTAACCAAGATGTCATGCTGGTATACCATCATATGATGGCCGATGGGATTTCCGGGTACGTCTTCCATCGCGAGTTTCTAGCAGCTCTCAATACGACCTCCCCTCCGCTAGATTGCAACAACTCCACGTCACACATTGTCCGTTCGGATCCCCATCTGGCAAACATCCCCAAGGACTGGAGCCTGATTCCAAACGAGAATGCTTCTCGAGACAAGCGTTGGCATCCCTCATTATTACAAATCATCTTGAATCAATCCTCATTCTTCTTGGCACAAATCTTCTGTTCAAGTGGATTCATCTTCAGCAAACTGTCTTCGTCCAAGCCCTACTTGAAATCAGTGA